TGTGTGTGTGTGTGTGTGTGTGTGTGTGTGTGTGTGTACCAGTCACTTTAGCAGGCAATACTCCCCATACACACACCAGAAAAAAAAGGCATGAGCCCAGGATCCTTTGCACGGTGGCTGCCAGCTCCGAGATCGCAGCGGTAACAGCACTGCTTATAGATCTAGGTGCTGGAGTCTCCAGAGGCACACGGAGAGGGCCTCTCTGACTGAAGCCTTTCCTCTCCTCTCCCACTCTGCTGCAGGAGAGCAGCAATGCTCTCTGAAGACTCACTTTTTTTTGCTGGGTGCTGACAGCTCACCCCTGTAATCCCAGCCCCACCAAAAAGTGGAAAGTGGAGCTGTGGCTCAAGTGGCGGGGCACCAGCCTTGAGCACAAAAGTTCAGGGACAGCACGGAGGCCCTGCATGCAAGCCCCAGTACTGACATCACACAAAAAAAATTAAATTAAATTAATCAAAAATAAAAGATAAAATGGCCAGGGAGAATGCCGCAATTAAACAGGACATTCCATCATTGTGCACTCTTCTAACTGGACCTAAAGACACACATTTAATAAAGATAGCCGTCTGCTGTGTCTGTAGACCCTGTAGAACAGCCCCTGTGGCTCACCGGCCACAAGAAGCCCCTGGAGTCTCCTGCAAGTGCCCTGTGAGGCCTCAGGGGTGGCAGTCATGGTGACAATGAGGAGGAGGAGGAGGAGGAGAGGAGGGAGGAAGGAGAGGAAGAGCAGGGGGGGAAAGAGGAATGACAGGAGGAAGGAGGAAACTGTACGTACTATGCCACCATCTATGCTACACCAGGTGTGATGAGAGGATTGTTGCTAATCCTCACGTCAACCTTGCCAGAATGGTATTAGTGTCTTTCTTTATTAGGAAATTAAATCCTTGGGGATATGGACATACGGAAAGCCACACGACCACCATCTGGCAAGGTCAGGATTTGAATCCAGGTCCATTTAACCCCAAACACAGTATTTACTCTTCCCACTGCAGGGATCTGCTCCATGTTCATCCCCAACATTCCTACCAGGGCTTCTCGAGAGAATTTGCTTATTCATAGTGCAAGCTCAGGTTTGTCTGAGCATGACACCCTGGGCTCCAAATAGGTTTCTTTCTCAGCAAGCACTGAGGGTTTAAGAGGATCACAAACCTAAGTGCTTACGCAGGTATTCATGACAATGAACAGAAAACCCAAACCACAGTGTACAATATTAAAGTACATCGATCCAGTGGAGATCAGTCGGTGGCAAACTTTCTTAGTGTATACACCATTCATCTTCTTGGAGCATTTAGCTTATTTACTCTTAAGAATTTTGCTGTTTTATCTAATTGCACCAAACATTTAATTAAAAGAGCTATTGCTCTGCTTTTCATACTCAAGGTGTAGAAAGAGCTATGCCCCATGAGGATATAATATCTGTAAGTGGGTGATTCTAAGTCAGAGGAGGTCACTCAAATGATTGCTGCTTCCAATTACTTCTTGTTGTTTTTCTTCACAAGAGTTCAGATTATTTAGACTCAGAGCTATGAAACAATGGAGAAAAATTTTTTTTTCCTTGCCTCTGAAAATAGCAACACAAAGCAAATTCTGCCAACTACACAGAGAATCCTTCCATCCAAGACACGGGTCTCCTGCTCCGGCTAACTCCCAAGGAAGTTCTCATCACTTCTAGGAAATGCATTATCAATACCATAACCCCATGACAGTACAGCACAGCGCTTGGCATCCTGCAGAGAATTTTTAGGGTTTAAGACACATTCCCCATATGTGATTTCTTCACCATGTCAAGTTCAAGTTCGCCTAAATGAGGAATATTCCCATCAACCCCTGACCCTAACCTGAAGTTCAAGGAGGACCTACAAAGAGGATCAGGGACAAAACATTCTAGACCCAGGACGTAGGTCCGGGTCCCAATGATGCTGGGGTAGAAATGGACTTGGGAGTGGTTAGGGGAAGGGAAGGAGCTCTGGAGAGCGCGTTTCCAATGTGCAGAAGGAAGCTGGATAAAACTGGAGGCTGTACATCAAGTAGATGACCTCCAGCTTCAGGGGGAAATGCTGGGAGAGAGGCTCAGCCAGTCTTAGGGCCCCTTCTGTGAAGGTGACTCCATCTTCAGGCCCAGCCTCCATTGAAAGAGCTGGGTGCACCTCCTTCCCACCCCTCCCGCTCTCCGCGGTGGATAAGCTGCAGAAGCTTTTCATGGACTGATTTCCTATTCAGCAGTTTGTTGATGAATGCCGACAGGATAGATGCAGACTTATGTCAACAAGCTACGACAGGGAGGTTTTATAAAGAGACAAATTATCCTTCCGCACACGAGATGGAAAATCTCTGTCGGGCTGCAGTCTCAGCACTGCTGAGTTTAGAAAGCCGGGATTTGTTTCCCGAACTAAACATCTCAATAGGAGAATGCACCCCAGTTTACCTCTATTCTTGCGTCTGTGCGCTTTTCTGAATAGCTCCTCACACCCCGCAATTGGCGCTGTGAGATTCAGCAGAGTGAAGAGGGCAGGTGTTGTCTTCCTGTCTTATGGATGTGGGGTGTGCAGGAGAGCACCAGCAAAGGTGACCCCCAAGGGAGATGGACCTTATTTCACATCATGAGGGAGGCACTGGAGGCCTGCACTATGGAAGAGACTCGTGGCAGCTCACAGAGCTAAGATGCCTAAAAGCCCACCACATCCCTTCACGCCAGGTGTGTCATTGCTGCGGCTACGTCGCCCTCTGTGGGAAGCGTGAATTTCAATTCAAGCTACCGGGTGCTCTTGAGTCCTAGGGCAACTGCAGGAAGAGCCGTATAAAGATCGAGAGAGGAATGCACAGGGGAAACTAGGCTTCTAACTTAGATCTGGAGAAGCTGTTAAACCGAGGAGGGATCCACGTAAGGTTCCATTCCCCAGAATTGTGGGTAGAAATATGCAATGTGCGTTAAGTGCTCTGGAGCACTTGATGGGTCGGAGATGAAGGGCAGGTTCCCGAATTCGTCCTTTCTGAGGTAATGAACGGGTGGGGCAGAGAGGCAAGGAGGAGACCCGTACCTTTTTGTCACTGAGGCCAGTCACTTGGTCGACGAATTCCTCCTGGATCATAAAGGCAGCCAGGTTGGCTGTGTAACTGGCCAGGAAGATGACAGCGAAGAAGGCCCACACGGACACCATGATCTTGCTGGTGGTGCCTTTTGGGTTCTGGACAGGCACAGAATTGTTGAACACCAGGCCCCAGAGCAGCCAGATCGCTTTGCCGATTGTAAACGAAGGCCCGTGGGGTGCTGTGAACCACAGAAAGGACAGACTGAGCACTTTCTCCAAAGGTACACTGGTGCACATCATGATCACCACTGGCCGGCCACAAGCAGCACTCCACAGGCTTCCAGAAGATGGAATCGTACTGCAGCCGTGTGCCTATCGCTGCCCCCCAGAATCACAGCCACCATCAACTTCTTTCTAATCTTTCAAGTTAGCATTTTCCTCACATTTCTATCTAACTCGATGTTTCCTACTTTTCCTTCAGAGGGGGAGAAAAAGAGGAAGAAAAGAAAAGGAAATCATTGTGTGAAATGGGGGTTTGAAGGTGAAGCAGCTAAGACCTGTTTTAAATTTGGATTTAATTTCTATCTAGAGGACCCAATCTCCTTAATAAACATTAAAAAAAAAAACAACTGACCACACACAGAAAAAACTGTGTGCACAGGGCTTGCTTCAGTATTCTTGTGGCATCCTCAAAGAACCAAGCAATTGAGAGGGAGCTGATGTTTGGTATTCTCATTCAATTGTCCTTAGCAATTGCTCCTGTTCAAATTCAGATGTAAAGTGGGCATGATATAGGAATCAAACCAAACGAAAACGCGCTCCAAATGGAGATATTATGGGACAAAACAATAGAACTTAATTCTTCCAGTGCTTCACAGATGGAAGACATTTCAATGCAGGACCATGGAAAAATGAACTCTTGATATCCCAGCATATTTCCTCTCTTTTGTATCTTTGTAGCAGCAATGTGCCCCTTTTTAAGACCCTTAAATGTTGTTTTTTTTTTTTTGCAAGAGCTTAACGAAAAGAGGCAGATTGAGAAACACAGGAGTATGGGGATATGGCCTATGCAAGCTGTGAAACACATTAGGATTTTCTCTTTCATTTCATTTTATATGTGTGTGTGTGTGTGTGTGTGTGTGTGTGTGTACACATACACATACACACACACTCATTTATATATACCTAATTATTATCTTTAAGAAGTACTGTACAAAGGTGTTTTGGTACAACATGTCAGTTTGTGAGTACAAGATATTGTTTTCAAGCCTTTATTTTTCACTGAGAAAATTAACTTATGCCCTCATTTCAAGAGGGGGGGGGAAGAAAGGTCTTCTTTTAGCAGAAGGTTAATTTTTTATGTCATTTAAGTAAATGAAGTTATGAAAAATGATCTACTGGGATTTTAGTTTGCAAGGCAAAGTAAAGTGGGCAATAAATAAAGTGGTAGCAGTGAATTTCGGCTGATGGAAGTTATGACGTTCTGGGCAGGGAGCCGAAAGAAAGCGAGCTTTCTCCATTTTGGAGTCCGAACTTAGGCTCCCATCTACTTACAATGTCCATAAAGCAACACTCTAAAGAGAAGGCAGCTAATTCTATTTTTCTCAGGCTCCAGCTTTCCTGTTTCTCTTTCCCTAGTTTTATGATCTTGTGGGCTTATTCCCAAGAGTCTGTGAACTCTTAGACACAAATAAATAATAATAATAATAATAGTAATAATAATAATAATGATTCCAGATAACATCGCAAAATACTTAATTTTCTCAGAGATGAACGTTGATCAGTAGTGACAGCTATTTGAACATCGGAGACAGGTAGCTGCGATGGCTCTGTGGAGCACTTTTGGGAATTCCTGGCTCAAGAATACTACCTCTGAGCCATATAACGTACCCCATAAAAGGCAGTGAAATAGAACCGAAAACCATTTTGCACAAAGAAACAAGAAGTAATCATTTCCCGAGAGTCAGCACACTCACACGGAGCCGGAAAGAGAGAGCCTCGGCATAAACCGAGGGCTGCAGAGTTCATGCATTCCTGATCCTAGTCTTCTGGTGCGTGCTTCAGGCCTGGGAGGAACAACTGCATCATTTCCACCCTCCGGGATGTACCTCGAATGCACCCACTTGGCTCCATTTTCACTGCCCTTGACCAAGTGCAAATCACTGTGATCTCTTTTCCTTGGAAAATGGTGGCACCTTCCTCACAGCTGTCCCTGCCTCCATGTTGACGATCCCTCCATTACTTCCTGGCGTAGACCATGACCTCCAAGAATGCTCACTTACTGTGGTCAATCTGATTTTATCTCATCCCCTTTCCAATCTTTCTCTCTCTCTCTTTCTTTCATCTTTCCGATTTCTTGAACACATCACAAGAGGTGCTACCTACCAGGCCTTTGCTGCTCCTGCTACTCCAAGTGCCTGTCTCCGTGCCTCATGCAGTTGAATGTCTCTCACCTTTCACAGCTCAGCTGTCCACTATCTGAACATCCCTCACCCTCCCCCCGCCCGCCAGTCCTGGGCCTTGAACTCAGGGCCTGGGCACTGTCCCTGAGCTTCTTTTGCTCAAGGGCAGCACTTTACCACTTGAGCCACAGCGCCACTTCTGGCTTTTTCTGTGTATGTGGTACTGAGGAATGGAACCCAGGGCTTCATACATGCTAGGCAAGCACTTTACCACTGAGCCACATTCCCAGCCCTCCTTTCCTCTCTTAACATCCTGTCTCACATAGCAACCCCACCCCAGCCCCACATCACTCAGATTTTTCTGCCCTTCTTGAAATGGATTATACTCTCTGATCATTAATTTATATGCTTATTTTCTCCAATCCTCAGGTCCATTAGGGTCAGAAAGTCTCTACTCGATTCTAATTTTCATCTCCTGTATGTGTAGAGTGCATGACACAGGTTATCCACTCGGTAAATATCTATCCAGCAACTGTGCAAGCTCACAGCAGCACAGCCTGATTGTCACACTTAAAGATCTATAATACCGCAGTGTCATCACTCACAGAAAACGACCTCAGTCTCTGTCCTGTTGGAAAGCTTCTTAATGGTAAGTTACTTTGCCTTTTTATTGACTGCAATATCTCACCTAAATTCAATGTGGTTGTTGATGGCATTTTCTATTCTTTGGTTGTCTAGAGATGGTTTACATAGTAATCTCCACTCGTAAAACGGTTATGAACTAGAAGGACGCCAATAAAACTAAGTCCCTGATAGGTTTCCATGGCCCACCACCTGCCATGACAGAACACCATCGCACGTTTGTATGCCTTGATGAACGAGTGCAAATATGATTCAGTAGTTTGAAGAATGTTCTCAAAATGAGACCCTAGAAGGTTATTTTCTTTTCATATGCTGAAATTGAGACCACGTCAGTATTTCTTTTGATATACATTCTTGAAATGAATTGGCAAATGGCTGTTTCCAATACTCAATCTTTCAAGTGAAAATAATAACAGTGTTGACGTGGATCAAGTTCTCCTCTTATTGTGGTACTGGGGATGGAATCCAGAGATTTGTGCATGTTGGGTAAGTGTCCTGCTACAGGGCTATACCCCCAACCCCACCTGGCGGTCTCCTCAGCTTAGAGCTTATCAAGTCATTTCTTGAGAAGGAGATTCAGTGCTGCAATCTTTCTGATCCCGTCCACTTAGGAGGTGCTGCGCACTAAGGAAAACCCACTCAAAATGATGTAATGTGTTTATGAACTGGCTGGCCTGGGGGCTTCTTAATGAGTTATAGCCAATGGATGTCTCCCAGTTCAATTTTCTATCTACTGATTGCTCATTTATCAAGCACAGTGCACTAAGGACAGGAAATGTCAAGAGGAAAATGGAACTCATTGGGAAAGGATACCATTTTATAGTTGCATTCCTCATCAAACAAATGCAAATGTGATTCAGCCATTTGAAGCAAGTCTTTAAACTAGATTCTATAAGGCTATTTTCTTTACGTCGACTCAGATTGAGCCTCGCTGTGATTTTAGTATTCCTTTTGACACACGCTTTTAAAATTAATTGCCAAAAGATACCTCTTCATCAAATCTGCTTTCCGGAAAAATTGACCATCAATGGTTTCTTCCTAAACACTATTGACTTCACATTAAAAGATGATTAGAATGTTTCATTTTGCTTTATTTATTTTTTTATTTCTAGGTAGCATAAATAAATCATTACTTGTCTGGCATCTGAAGTCAGATCAATGAGCCAGCCCCAGTCACACAATGGCTTACCCAAGCAATGCATTCTAAAATGGAAACCTTCCCTCGTGATAAATGGAGCAGCATTTGTGAGACACTCACTGCCCCAACCCAAATCAGCCTGTCTCAGTCCACCTTGTGCAGGACTCCACGCCATCCAGCAAGAAGGCTAGTTTACAGAAACTGTTCTGAATTCAAGAAGAACACTTGCTACACCCTGTTTTAATAACATATTCCTGGGAAGGATTGTGTTAGCTGATTGCAACCTCCTTGGTAGACCCATTGGGAAACAGCCCACCCCAGTGGCCCCCTGAACAGCTAGCTGAACTAAACCTACAGCAGTACATCTTTCTGCATCGTAAGTGCTCATAAACCCCAGCCCCGACCTCTAGCGCTCACTCTAGCCTGTCCTGTGGTGCCTGGCCCCCTTCTTCTCTTCGTTTGTCACTCTGCCTCTTGGTGAATTCTTTCAAACCTTGCGCACCATCTGGAGCCTCCCAACCTAACACCATCTGCTCCAAATTACGCTCAGGGAAGTTCCTTACCTTTCCCTTTGGCTAAGTTTCTGTTGTATCCAACAGGACTGAAGTATTCAAAGACAAACACAGCTATGGCTGAGACGATGAGCAGCATGACAAACATCATCACCCAGACGGAGGCGCTGAACGGTTCTGTAGAGAGGCAGGAGAGGAACAGAAAGAGGCAGTTAGCTCTTCCTCACCTCCAGCAGGAAGCCCAGATATCCATTTGCAAGCTCACCAAGAAGCCTGATCTCATTCAAATCTGATCATTCAAAAGAAGCTAGCCACTTTTTTTTTTGTAATTCAAACCATTCGGTATTCTACAAAATACTTGAGGTAATTTATAAGACTGCACATAATGTGATAAAAATAGAAACGTATATATGACATTTTATAAATCAGGTCAAGGAGAATAGAAACCAAGAAATGATCCAATGAAGGGAGAGTTGGAATGCAAATAAACAGGCCACAGGACCCTATGTAATTTTAGAACCATCCAGAAAACTAGTGCCCAAAACGGTGGGGGGAAGGGAAGACTGGACGTAAATAGCCATAAGGTATCTGCAAATTGGCATGATTCTGACTTTTAGTTTCCTCTCTATTTTCACATACTGGTAGAATGATGTGTGACAATTCCAGAAATAAAGGGAGAATGATAACTTGTTATAAAGGATCATGAAAGTCACAGGATTGATGAGATACTGGAAGGATATTATCTCCCACATTGTGCTGTGGAGATGAGATCTCTATAGTTTTCAAATCATACCGAGGTGACAGCAGGCTTAAATGCAATTGCAAGTCATTTGAGGATATTATGTTTACATGACGATTCAATGAAAAACCATCACTTAAAGAGGAGAAGCAATGAGCTGGGAGCGAGTGGTTCATGCCTGTAAATACTGGCTACTGAGGAGGCTGAGATCTGAGAGTGTTGGTTGGAAATCAGTCTGGACAAACAAATCCAAGAGATTTTTTTTATCAGAAAAAAAAAAGCCAAAAGTGGTAGAGTGGCCCAAGTGGTAGAGTGTCAGCTTTGAACAAAAAGCCAAGTGAAAGAGTAAAACCCTGAGTTCAACCTCACAATTGGCAGGAAAAGAAAAAAAAGAGTAGAGGCAACGAAAGGCTAGATGAATGGAGGGTTACTCCCCCCACACCTGACTTTTGCCAGGTCATTTCCAGGTAACCTGGGCAGTAGGCGGGTGCCTTAGAAGGCAGGGCCAAATCTGAAGCTCGAAATCTTACATCACTTTAGAAAGGTAAAAGATACTGTGTAAAATAAATTAGCATTTCTACTTAACCTGATTGGGGATATGAAAATGAACTGATTGAAGTCATTTTATCCATTTAAGATATAGATTTGTTAGAAAAATCAACAGAGATTAAAATGTTAAAAATGAATACGCTTTGCCTGATTGCATGACTGGGAAAAAAGTGCCCGTGGACACCCACAAATTTGAACCTCTTTTCCTCACAAGTAAATGTTTCCTCAGTTTAAAATCTAGTAAGTGCAATCATGCCTCTCGAGTGGTAGACATTTTATTATTTTTAAATTTTTTTTTACAAAGATAATGAAGACCCATCATCATCATCATAAAGAACTAAGCTGACTGTAGTCACCTTCTGGTTAGACTCTATGACCAAGTGACACAGGTAGAGGTCATCATGAATTCCATTATTATGTATTAGTATATAATATATTACACTATATAACATATTCCATTATTATATGTTAATAACAAGGAACTGATGTGCCCGACGCTTTCATGACACTGGATAATCTGAAAACTGGAACAAATTCTTTGCAATGTAATTTTGATGGTGCAACTGTGTTAAAAGGCAACAGGTAACAGCACAACTGGTTTGACTAAATACGAGGTGAGCGCTAAGAAATCGATGGGACTGGAACTGAAATTTATCTTCATTTAGCTTGAGTAATAAGCAGTATTATGTGCCTGCAATCACTTCAATTTGGTAATGAGGTGGAACCAAAAAGGAGGATAAATAGATGAATAATTAAGAGGTTAAAGGTACTTAATATTCAAGAATAGAGATGACAATTCTCCAACTCAGTATGCTAATTCTCCAGGTCAGGTACAGTAATGACACAGTACTTTCTACCAGAGTAGCATTATTGCGATGCTGACAGAAACCGATACCTGTACAGCATTTGGCAGTGTGCCCTGAACACTGTATACACACAATACAGTGAATACAACACCTGTTTGATTCCAGGATCAGAGCCAGAAAGGATGGGAGGGTGCTGTCCAAGGTGCTGAAAAATCAGCCTCGTTTAGTATAAGAACACTCAATGACTGAAAACTTCCATTTCTTGGTAGCCAATCAAGCAGCTGAACTCACACATCACCTCACTCGGAAATGACGTCATTTGTCCCTGGACTTGTAACCACCATGGATCGAAGGATTCTGTTGCAGCCTCTGGGTTTTTGTAGACTATGAATCCATACACATCCCAAAGGGGGGTTGCTTTCACACACCCTTCCCACCCACACCCCAGGAGCGACCCAGAAACATATTTTAAAAATATCTTGAGATTACATCCTCCAGCAGCTTAAAAGATATTCAACATTTATCCATGGAGGAACTTCAATCCAGGAGACTCCGGGTCTGCAATTCTTTGGAATCAAAGAATCCATCCTACTTGGCAAGTCTGAAGAATTAACTGGATGGAAATATCACCAGAGACGTCATCTCTGTCCTTTTTTACACAAAAGCTCAGTGGTGTTACCTGCAAGTACTTCTGATGTGAGTTAATGGAATTTGTGGAGGAGAAAGAATGGGACATAATGAAGGGCAATGCAATCAGGTTTTGAATGTTTTGGCTCGTCCGGATGACTGAGCCAGTGAATGGAAAAACGTAGTCTTGCACAGTTCATTACAACTTTCAAAACCTGCAGATAATGACAGTAAATAAGGGGTACAGAGTCAATCAAATCGGGGCGTAATTTTGTGACTAGGGGAAATATTAAGCTTACTGTGTAAAAACAGCTTTGGAAATACTTTCCTCAAGCTAGAATTTTATTCCATTTTATTTTTAAAGATATACAGCAGAAAGAGTTGGGGAGGGGGATTGCTAAATTTGGCAAGAATCTTGACTTTTTAATGGAAATGTCTATTGATACAGGTAAGATTTGTTTTAAAGTGTAGAGAAACCAAGCTGAGACCAGACTCAACATCAGCAATCCATTTTCATGAGATACTCCAGTACTGGGAATTGAACTTGAGGCCTGGGCACTATCTCTTAGCGTTTTATGCTTAAGGCTAGTAGTATTCTACCACTTGACATACAGCCCTACTTCTGGATTTTTGGTGGTTAATTGGAAATAAAGTCTCTTGGACTTTCCTGCTCAGACTGGCTTCAAACCATAACCTTCAGATCTCAGTCTCCTGAGTAGCTAGAATTATAAGCATAAAGTACCAACACCCAGTTTATGGAGACAATTTATTAGAGAGGGGGAATTTCTTCCCACTTTGTTGCATGCTGTCATTTCTTCTGACCCTTCTTTAACCTCCAGGGCAAATATTCTCTGCCATAGCCTGAGAGGAAATTGAGGAGTAAGGGATGGGGTTAGGAAGACTAATCAACAAGTAAGACTGTGCACACACCACCGATATCTTTGGCTGCCTTCTTCCTGGAGTGATCAGGATCCCTTATTATTATTTTAATATGGATATCTTTGTCCACGTCAGACAAAGGGACCAACGAAACATAATGAGGCATGTATTTGTTAAGCTCTCTATTAATACACTCCAGCACAGATTCCAAGTGCTGAAGCGGTGAGTGCCAAACCAAATCCAGTGAGTGGCAAGGATTTCACCAGCTTAACTGGATTATCAGAAATGAAAATAGTAAATCCACACGCCACCGTGAGTAAGGCAGTATCCCTAAATCCTGTTAGTCAACATTTCACTCAAGAGGACGAAGCACAGAAAGACTCACTGGAGGCTGACATTACACCGGAAAGGAGGCAGTGGAAGGGCCAGGCGTGGGTCTAGGGTTGGTGACCCACAAATTGCTTCTAAGTTTGCAATCTCCTTTACTCATGTTTTTTTATCTTTGGGGGAAAAAATGTAGGCGACATAGTTGCGCTTAACGAAACTGTTTTCCTAATCTTGTTCTGTTTTCTTGTGGAGATGAAGTTTTTTTCTTTAGCTTCCCCAAATGTGGGACCAACCCATCCACATGGGAATTCCACAGGAAGCTATCTGACCTTCACGGTGTCCGGCAAGATAACCACTCAAAAATAATTTAAATAACCAAACCATTGATGTACTTGAACTCTGGGCCTGGGCACTGTCCTGAGATTTGTTTTGTTCAAGGCAAGCACTCTGCCACTAGTCACAGCGCCACTTCCTGCTTTTTTGAGTAGATTTTTGGAGATAAAGAGTCTCCCAGAGTTTCCTGCCCAGGCTGGCTTGAACCGCAATCCTCAGCCTCCTCTGAGTAGCTAGGAATACAGGTGTGAGCCATCAGTGCAGGGCTGATACACCAATTTTAAAGAAAAAAAGATTAGGAGTCTTGGCCATATTCATGAAGTTTCTTATACTTGAGACTGTTTACCTAATGTACACACAGCTACAGTGCTGAAGAAAACCAGGAGATAGAAAATATAATTCTACCTTGATTTAGGGGGAAAAAACTTTAATGTAAACACATAAATTTATAAGAAGGTTAAAAGGAGAGTCAATAACATTTCTTGCCTTACAAACTATTTGGTGCGAAAGATAGCCAACATCTAAAATATGATCCCATTAATTTTAAATCAGTGCACATTCTTCGGACTACTTGTGTTTTGTTGATCAGAGTACTGGCATAAATCACTGTACAACCTGTACGATCATCATTATTCTCCCTCTTCCCTCTAGTGCACAAATGACTGTCATTCCAGAGTAGGATGAAAGATAGGTGTGTGGATGCTGAATAAGGGTTTATAGACTGATTTAAATTAACTGTGGACAGACAGGTTTATTTGTTTTGTAAATGTTTTCAAGGCTCTGAGCAATATCTCTATTAATGCACATCCCACAGGGCTAAGATTAGTCTCCGAACATGGGGTGGGATTTTTCAGCAGGAAAATTTCCAAGTGAAAGATGGGAATAGAGAGAGAGACGGGAGGGAAATGGATTGGAACAAGATGCCGGTACTGATGGGATGAATGTACTGGAAAATATTGGATGTTGTCACACAGAACTGATAAGGTCGAGTCTGATTCCTAATCTCTGAGCAAATGAGACAGAGCACCTATGATCCCTCATGGGAAAGCCATCCACACCAGGCTGGTCACACACCTAGAAAAGCCGACGGTGACACGGTGCCATTGCTCCTCGAAACCATGACGCTGATTCCCGTCTCCACGAAAGGGACGGAGAAGTCCACCACTTCTGAACGTTCCTCATTGATGGTGAGCGAACCCACGGCCATGACTGCTCGCTGATACACCACCTGGAGATGAGGTGAGGAGGGGTGGTAAAAAAAAAAAGAACAGTGCCTCTACTTACCCTTCCCAGCATCCCTGGGGACCAAGGCCCTCTGTTGGACCAGGAGCCTGTGGGACAGAATGGTCACTTACTTCCCCAATCATTCCATTCCACACATTGTTCACTTTCTTGCCATGCTTCCCATTGGTCACCAGGTAGAGGTCATAGGTGAACTTCACGGTCCTGGACAGCTTCTTCAGGATGTCGATGCAGAATCCCTTGCAGCATTTCTTAACGTTCATCCCCTCATTGGTGGAATTGCTGTGAAGAAATTCCAGAGACCACGGCCCGTTAGTACCACAAAGTTCTTGCACGTAGTTAGCTACCTTGCTGTGTTTTCCAACAGGAGGGAAATCAGGGTTCATCAAGGAGAAGCGGCCTTTCCAAGGACACACAGTGAGTAATGGGGACGGGGGAAGTGTTCTTAACTACAGTAGTTCCCATGAAAGCAGCTAATTTTCACTGAGCAATTACTATTGACGAGGCACTCTGAATGCTGTGTGAATGGTCAGAATCACCTCCAGGATGTTTCTCTGAAGTAGATGCCCTTTGCATCCCTGTTTGAAAACTCTTATATTGTTTTCCCAAGGTTTATAATACCCAGAACCTCTATAGACCAGAGTTTAGTCATCTGATCTGAACCAAATCACAAAAAAAAACTTCTTGGCAAATGGAGAGAGGAGAATGTGAGAGTCTCAAGTGGCCCAGGGTTTTATTTCATCTTACATTTACAAAGTCTTAAAAGCAAAGGGACGTGAGGGCACCTGGAAAATTCCTAGGAGTTGGGAAACCTGTGTTTTACTTATGCCTGAGGCTGTGAACTTGACTTTATTTGACAAAGCTACCTGTCAAGTAAGAGTTCGTTCATAACATTTTCCGTAAATATCTGCATGGCATGAAATATAAAAGGTGACATTTTTGAAGGGCAATGTCCTTGATCAGGTTTTGGGGGGGAAAAAAAACTCTAGTAAAATAAAGACTGCATCGCCACCTTAGAGGTGAACCTACAATCTACCACATTCCTTTTTAGGACAGACATCCTGTTTATTCCCTAGGCCAAGATGCATGTGAAGAACATCTATGCAAACCCTAAATATCTTCAAAAATGAAGAAAATGTCAAACCTCCCAAACCAAGTAGGAAAAAAGTATGTGCACAGCTTATCTACAGAGGCAGTGCGTGAGCATTCACCATGCATGGGGAAATCCTGTGGTCCCGGTTCCCAGTGTTGCTGGGCTCACAGGCATGTGTCACCTCACTCTGTTTCTCTCTATGGAGATGGGGGTCTCACAGACGTTTCTGGTTGGACCCTCCCCCTGAAGCATGATTCTCCCATCTCAGCCTCCTACCTAGCTTGGATAGGTTTCACTGCATATAGTTATGACTTGACTAGCAAGGGGGGAAGCGTGTGTCACCAACATTTCTGCTTGTGCTGGTCTTGGATCACAATCCTTCTGATTTTTAGCCTCCCAAGTAGCTAGGATTACAGGCCTCAGTCACCAGCACCTGTCTGACACTTTTGAATGTTTTCCTGCATCTCAATCACTGTGTTCATCAAGCATTACCCACTCCTCTTGTCCCCGCTTCTACTCCACTATCCTGCTTCTGTTGGACAGAGCCATAAAGGAGATATCACTGTAAACCTAGAGGCTGGGTGACCTGCTCTGACCCTCCACTCTCAAGCTTATGGATGGATGGATGGTGGGAAGCCACATCTGCATGGATTTACATATATTTGCATACAGCTATTAGTAGGCTCAATGCTGTGAAGTCCTAGGAAGCGGGTACTAATTTGACGGGGCGGATGGAGTCAGGCTGCTTTGGCGTGGTGTTCTCTTGAACTTGGTGCTGTGGCAATGGCCTGGTGAAACGGAAACCCCCAGCCAAAGTGAACTTGACGCAAACCCAATGTTTGCTACTTCTGAAAGGGTGTTAGCCTTGAGCCCCACCCATAGAATGAAGTCTCCACGACTTTATCAACCAACTAGACCAGGAGGAAGTGTCTGCACTGCCTCATTCTACCTGGCAGAAAATGAATATGTGTCCTCAAGACTCCACTTCTTAGGAGAAGTGGAGACCAAAGGGAATCTCAGGAAGGCATCACCAAACACCAAAGGCAACTACTTGACCGGCAGAGATCCCTTCACAACCCTTAGGCCCTCTTGAAGACTTTATGCTGAGTTCCCTAACCCGAGTCAATGCTGGGATTAGTGCCTCCTAGTCGTTTTCTATTGATCTCAAGTAAATCAAAAACTCTGATCTCACATACACAGGAGACCTCTCACATTCCCACAGAGAAAGAGGGCAGCGGGAGGGAGGGAAGACTGTGAGCTACCACCTCCACACAGGAGCCAAGAACTTGAACTTAGACACGTTAGGGTGTTTACAGTCTTCAACAGACAAGTCTATTCTTTTAAAGATAGTGATTCATTTGAGATCGTTGAGACTCAGGACTTTCTAATGGTTTTCAGCTCCAAGGCTGTTGAATCTGGAGATTGTTAATTGCTTTTTATTGATTTTATCGAAATAAAAAATCTCCTCTTGGCTGGCCCTAGTGAGAGGGTTTCACAGGTATCGAAGAGGTCTCCTCTGGAGGCTGTCCCCTGTCCTGCGCCAGCCGGACACTCTGTTTTCTTTATTCAATCCACTCCTGCTCAAAGAACACCCACTCAAATCCTAGCCTCCTCTAACAACTCTCCCATTTGTTTTTCTTCTCCATGACCCTTCCAGCTCATCCCTTCTGGTAGGTGACTGCTTTGTTTTTCCAACTTGCTAAGCTCTTTCTTTCCCCAGGGCCTTTGCACCTGCTGTCTCCTCTTTGTGGCTGGCTCCTCTCCCAGAGCTTTGCATGTCGGGCTCCTTTTCTTTTATGTATCCCTTGCAGCCTCAGTTGTGTGAGCAGCTGTATCCCACAGACCTCATTTTGCTCTGCTATTGCATCTCAAGTTGTTGTACAGTGGTGTCCAGCGTGTGGCTCTAATCCCTGTCTTTTGTCTTTTCTGCTCTCTCCTCTGTCTTTCCTTAGACCAAGGACTATATCCAACACTTGAACTGCTTACCCTATGGTTAGGCATTTATTTACTCATGTCTAGTCACAATTCTATTTACAATGATTGCTATGTCATTTAGCTACGAGAATTCGGCAACTGCTGTAACATGGGGTGCATGCATGTTCCTGCTTTGGCATGCCCCCCTTTATCCCTGGGTTAGGGGGACATTTACCAAAGACAACGGGAGCCCTGGGGAGGAAAGGGCCTACTTATAAGGGCATATTTATTTTTCATATCTACACTGAGTTTCAACCCCAAAGAGGCTAACTTTAATGGCTTTGTTCATCAAATTGTCTTTGAACCCAATGTGTCTTCATAACAGCATTTAGCAATTATGGTTTTTGTTGTTGTTGTGGGGGTTGTTGCTGGTCGTGGGGCTTGAACTCTGGGCTTGGGCACTGTCTGTGCGCTCTTCACTCAAGGTGAGCACTCTACCGCTTGAGCCACAGCACCACTTTCAGTTTTCTAATGGTTTATTGGAGATAAGAGTCTCATGGAGTTTCCTGCCCAGGCTGGCTTTGAACCATGATTCTCAGATCTCAGTCTCCTGAGTAGCTAGGATTACAAGTGTGATCCACTGGCGCCCGGTGCAATCATGTATTTTTAAGAACACATGATTTTAAAATACCCTGATTCTAAGCACTGAGATCTGGGGATTTGCATCTTGGATAGAAATAACTGAGGTTGGAGTCACACTGGGAGCAGGGGAAAAGAAAGTTTCTGCTCATTGTGTAGTCATTCCACAACGCTTTGTGTATCATGCTATGTAATTAAAACTATTTTAGGCAGTTTCAGCTTGCAGGACCAATGTTCGAATCCTACCTCTTCTGATTATTCTCCGGGTGGCTTTGAACATGTTTCTTCACCTTCTATAACTCTGCGTAATTAATTTGCTATTGACGAGACTATTCACCTCATATGCCAGTGGAATGAAATAAAATGCAAGCTCAGTCCATTCCAGGCATTTGTTGGTATTTTTGTAAGACAAACGATAAAAAAAAAAAACAGGTGCAAGGTTGGGGCTGGAGAAGACCAACTTAGATGCCCACTGTGGAGGGAAGCAGAGCTTGCCCAACCTGGGGCCGCATGGCTAAGCCGAAGGGTCAAGTTAGAACTGGCCAGGTGGAAGGAACTAATAATCAGAAAACACCCAGAAGAGTGAGATCTCCATCCCACAGTAAGCCTCTGTATTTGGGAGACCCCCACATCGGACCCGTGTTTGTAGAGGGAAGGTCAAGTCACAGGCACATGGGCATGCCCGTGACCCCAAAGGGTTTTATGCCGTGCTTTCAATCACAACGTCAGCTCTTCATTCAAACATAGCCAAAGGGGGAATGGCACGGGCGCGGTGGCGCTGGCCGTGGTTGGCCTGGGAAGCCATTAAGCCTCCGGGTTCCACCCTGACCCCCTCCAGGGGGTGGCTGCCATGAATGGACACCACACTTTTTTGGTTGTTGTTTTAGAAGAAGTGTTGATCTGGGAAATAGAAAGGGGAGAGAGAGAAGAAAGAGCATGCTGGGGAAGGGAGAGTGAATGGGCCAGTCAGAAAAGTGGAGAAGAAATAATCATGGAGGACAAACTCATGGGGAGCGTTGTTGGTAATGCCTGAGCTTCCAGGTCAGCTGGACTAGAGATGGAGTCCGACCTCCTCCATTGTTCATCCATGGGCGCTGTTGAACAGCCTCCTTCATTTCTCTATAACTGTTTTTTTTTAAAAAGTCAATTTGCCATAGGCAAAACCTCTCACCTCTCATTGCTAGTAGAATTAAATAAATGCAACCTCGGTGGACCTCCAAGCACTTAAGGCTTTTGATCTATTGTGTTATTAGAATAGGGTATGTTCGCTATTACACACCACGATTGAATTCTAAGTCCCGATACCCGCAGCGACACAAGCTGTCCACATTCGGGCCACAGCCTCCCGGGCACTCACTTGATTTTGACAAACTTCCGGCAGGGCACGGTGTTCCTCACACAGGTCTCGGTGAGCGGGTCTATGTCTTCCACGATGACGAAGGGGGCCTCCTCCAGGGTGACGATGCTCAGGTGGTTGTCGTCCGGCTCGCAGTCTGAGAAGGACTTGTACCTCGGCCACACGGCATGCCTCAGGCTCAGGGTCTGGTTTTCCCACTTTCCCACCTGCACCAGAAGCACAAAAACACACCTGTGCTCACTGGCGAAGCTGACTCCTAGAAGGGTGTCGCCACGCCCCATAGGCGGCCCAAAAAGGAGATTCCCCACGGGTCATCTGGGCTGTCCTGTCATATTTCTCTGCAGAGGTGTCCACGCGGGTGCCAAGAAAACACGAACAAGAGGGAACAGAGTCATGGACACCTCCTGTGCCCCCCCTCAACTAACGAAACACGCGTGTCTGAGCAGTGATGGATGTCCTAGCAGCTCTCTGGGTAGCACCAGGGATCTGCTTCTCAGAGTTCAGGGCCATGAGTGTCATCACCAGTGCATGGCCATACAGAGCTGTGGGTTCGAACACCTGTCTCTGTTGCTTATTAGTTATTCAGCTCCAAGCTTTGGATTCCTCATCTGTCACGTGAACACCGGTCCACCTGCTTCCTAAGATGTCCTGGGAACTGACCGAGAAAGCACGGGGCTTGGAGCAGAGGACTGAACACATGCTTTTCCTTCAAGTACAGAGAGAAGAAAATGGCAAGGAGGAAGACGAAGAGGGGCCTTGAAAAAGAGGAGAGGGGAGAGGAAGGCAGCATGAGATGAAGAGGACGAGAGAGGAAAAAATGCAGTCAAGAATCCCATATAAATCCTGCAGGACTAACAAGACTGAGGGCAGGGGTGGGCTGAGGACTGGGTGGGAAGGGTGCCAGGGGCGATATTGATCGGGATGCGTTGTAGTCTCAAGTTGCTCTGTGAGGCCATTTAAAGGCAATAATTCTTTTAAAATTTAAGAGAGCAAAACAGAGTAGGTGATGGTGGGAAAAGGCAAGTGCAGGCGGCAGAGTGGGTGACAGAACTAGTACCTTCGCTTCCACTCCCCCCCCCCAGATTATGGTTCCTTTAAGTTGCAAATGGAGGTGAATTTCTATTCATCTGCACCCAGTAGAGACGCGGCTGCTTAGTGTGCACCAGGACCTGTCAAAATAGAATCGATTGCATTTCCTCCGAGCAGCGGCAGCCAGCATCTTAGCGAAATCAAATTGAAGGCTGTATGTTTTGAACTTTAATTTTATTTGACAGTTTATTGGCACTATTCACCTCGGCGCTGGGAACATGCTGCCCCCGCCATGCACTTTCTCCTGCTCCCTCCTGCAGGATCGCCTGACACCACAGGTCAGCGCTTTATTTGTCAGAAAAACCTCAAGGAAAACACCTCCTCTGGAAAGCTAAGTGCAGGTGCAGGCTTGTCGGTGCTGACGTTGGTCCGCTCACCTCTCCCCCGGCAAGCGTCAGTGTCACCAGAAATGAATCGCAGGCCCTTAAAGAGAATTCAGTCATGAAGGGCAGCAGGGGCTGATGGGTAAGGGAAAGAATAGAACCCATGCACCTTGAAATTACCTCATCATTTGCACTGGAAAAAAGAAAAAGAAAAACAACCTATTTGCTGGCTGTGAAGAAACATCCCATGTGGCTAATTACAGAAGTGTCTGGCTTTGGCAATATTGTCCCTTTTAAAATAGGAAGATCCGCAGGGCAATCTGGTGACATACACACGCCGTTTTCCCAGACTTTGATGGGGAGTACAAGCCTAGAGACTTCTGGGCCCTCGAAATTCTCATTCACTCCATGTGGATTTATTGAACCCCTACTATGTCCTGAGATTGGTGATGGATGAATCAGAACCCCATCTGGAGCTACCAGTCAGCTGCTGGACAACGACTTAGTCAATCATACAAATTTGAGAATCGATTATTTAAAACAAAGAGAGAGAGAGAGATGAATATACATTTTCCTTTGGGAACATGTTGTACAAGCACCTTTCTTTTCTATTTAACTTGGAAAACTCAAGCACAGCCTTTCAGCGAGGCCAGGTGGAGGGCAGAGGATAGAAGAATTCGCTTTTGAAGTCAAACAGAAAACGACGTGCTATACTGGTTCTGCCCATTAGCTGTGCCATCTTGGGAAGTTACTTCACCTCTCCGAACTTCACTTTCTCCAACTGTGAAGTAGAGATGGCGAGGCCAGGCCGTTGGGGTCTGGAGCGAGTCCCAAATGTGTACAAGGCATAAAGCACAAAACCTAGGTTGGCCCATGACAAAACACCATGGCTGCTCTTATTCTTCTGTTGTTAGCACGGAAGGTGGAGCCCACACATAACTGTAACTGTAAAGTAGTTCTTCTTGCTTTCCCTGGTGATCTATAACACCGGAACATTGGAGATCCCATAATTATAACAAGGTGAGTTGGAGCACATCATATAGCTAGGGAATGGATAAATATTATCATTGAGTCTAATCCCCCCTCAGTCCTCCAGGGTCAGGATTATAGTCCCAGCTTCTGGCTCAGGGAACTGGAATGCATAGAAGTTATATGTCTTACATCCCACACACTGAGACCAGAATTATATACCCTCGGGCTGTCATCATGAGGCTATTAGCATCATTGATTCAACCTTTATTAAGCTTCTCCATGGGAGACGTGATAGATTTCTGTAGCAGAAACTCTGATTGAGATGGTGGAGCGGCTATGACATTCACTTTTTTTTTTTTAATGACATAGTTACTGCTGTAACATTCGCTTGGGCTTTGACCTCTCCATTAAAGTCTGAGTCCCCCGAGAGAGAGACCGGGCGGGGGGGGGAGGGTGTGACTGTGTGGGACTCTGTGGGACTCTGTGACCTCTCAGGTCTTCAGAGCTGATGTCCTATGTGAAGTACAAGGGTAGAAAGCTGGAAGAGGGGTGAGGGCAGCACCCCTCCTTCATTCTGGATAGGTGAGAGTGGCCGTGGATCTGGGGAGAAGGGAGAGTAAAGAGCAGCCGGACGGCGTGCTTGTCTCTGAAGAGGTGGCGGACGGTTCTGAGAACCATGATGGCACCCGAAGCGGAGCTGCCCTCAAAGCTGACCCTTCCTCTTTCTGCCAAGAGAACCATGACTTTCCCCCTTCTGATTTGGTGACATCCTGCCCATGACGTTTTGGACCATGGTGACACAAGGCCAACGGTTCACGCTTACTGGGGAAGAGTGCTGAGTGGACTTGGTGCATTCCACAACCTGCTCTTCAGAGCAGCTCTAGAGGAAGGTACCTGTAACTCTGCTTGGTGCTTGATGGGAAAACTGAGACTGAAGGAGGTTAATCATCGTGTGCTGGCCATGTTATAGGAGCCATACAGGTATCCAAACTCAATCTGTACAGAACTAGAGCACAAGTTAGTCACAGCCCTCTCTTGGAAATATGCTTCCCTCAGATTGTTAAAGGTGCCCACCTCACCGGGTTATAAGGATTGTATGTGATGGTGAAAATGACGGCCAGGTGGTAATGGTTCATGCCTATAATCCTAGCTACTCAGGAGGCTGAGATCTGAAGATTGTGGTTCAAAGCCAGCCCCAGCAGAAAAGTCTCTGAGACTCTTGTCTCCAATTAACTACCAGAAAAGCTGGAGGTAAAGCTGTGGCTCAAGGAGTAGAGTACTAGTTTGGGGAATTTGTCCACATAGCTGGAAAGTGAAAGGATTGGAATTTGCACTCAGACCTCAAGAAATGCAAGTAGAGACTTTTGCTGAGAAAGGAAGACCAACTTCATAATGCAAAAACCGGACAAAACCGCCTCAGCTAGACGGTCATAGTCAAGATCAACTTTGTAAGCCATTTTGATGGTACGTACTCTTAAAATGGTATGCGGACAATGGTGAGGTGAACTCATTCTAAGAATAATACCAGAAAAATGTCAAGTTTGGGGCATTCTAGAAGACATCTGTCTGTATTGCTCAAAACTGTCAAGGTCATCAAAAACCCAGCAAGTTTAAGAAACTGTAGTCGATAAGGAGGTACCTTAATTATATGATACATAGTGTCTTGAATCAGAGGTCATGATAGCACAGAAAAAGAATAAAATTAAGAAAATCTCAATAAACCTAATAGTATTTTGAGCGTGCATCAACAGTGCATCATCTGGTGCAGTGATTGCCACAGATGCTCCAGTCTTATGTCAGATGCTAGTGTTATCAGAGACACGGGGTGTGAGGTTGATGGGAAGATACTGAACTCTGCAGTAACAATAAAACTATTCTGAACCAAAAGGCTTTTTTAACTTTTTTAAAAATCCAAATTTATGGGAGGGGGGGAAGGAGACAGAGAATGGGAAAGTGACATAGTTACCAGGAATCTGAACTCTGGCCCATTACCCAGCTCCAAATCCTAGCTGTCTCTGCTTAATACTATGCCACCCAACTAAAGTACTTGGTGCCGCTTTGCCTTTGTTTTATAGGCTGCTGATTGATAATGGTACAACCTGCTGGATGCTGAGAGTACTTAGATAGTTATAACTAGAGACAAAAAATGAGGCACATAGAGGAATGTCTGGTGCTTTTTTGTCCTTATTTAAATTAAGAGAGGGCACAGCTTTAACTGTGGATTTCATCTTATCTCATGTTATAACTACACAAAAGCATCAGCTGGATACTAACCTTTTCTGTTTGTCCTGCCCACCATCTCATTTTTTTTCCTGTTAGAGCATACTGATTTTCCCTAGGAGAGATGCCTTATGTGGTATATGAGTTCACTGAATCCTCCAGCCACAGTGATTGGTCCAGGCATATGCCTATTACCTATGGCGAGCCAATGAGTGGTTTTACTGGGACTTTTGCTGAGACTATTAGGATTACAGTGGTGATGATGGAGAAAGCTATCAGAGAGTGCACACCGAGCTGAGAAATAGAGATGAGAGCAATTAAGTGATAGTATTGTTTGAGCTCTTACAAGACAAGGTAGCACACACCTGAGCAGCACCTGCCACTGTTCTTAACACCATTCTGATCCTTATAAACTACTTATACACAAGAGAAAGTTAGGGACAGATTGTTCTTCATCTCTATTATGAATTTCTGTACCTAAAACGGTCCCCAACTCACTCAAATAGGCTGTGTGAGAGGAGCAGGGAAAATATCTTTACCTTCAAAATACACTGACTTTTGGTAATAAATCTCTGAGTGTTTTCAGAATATACTGAAGTTTG